CATTACTTTAATAATTACTTATTTATTACTTTATCATTACTTTAGTATTAATGCTGTCATTGTTATTATCATTATTATTACTTCTACTATAATTAGTGTCATGATTATCTCTATTTTAAGAAACGGATCGACCCACTGACCATCAGTTCGCAACCCACCAGGCGATCAAGGACCCAGTCTGGTATATTCCGGCAGGAGTCAGTTCATACATCTCTGGGTTATATGATACTTTTGGAATTATTTTGCGTTATTTAATGTCTCCGTATAGTGTGCTGACACATGTATGTATGGTTGTATGTGTTTATGTATATTTGTGTGTTGTGTGGGTGCGTATGTATGTGAGACCGCGCGTGCGCGTAGGGTTGTCATCGGTTATATTGTCAGACGAATTAGAAAGTGCGGCTGTTTGTGGATATGTGTCTGTCCTATTTTCTATAGCTATTGCGGTATAAGTAATGACAACTTGAAATACGGAAACATATTCAACAAATGTATTAGTTTAATTGTTATTCCATAGCTTTTGACAAGTTTGCCGACGATAAGCCTTGGGTTTCTCAACTGAAGCATACTGTATTGCTGAAACAGCCATGAAAACAAGTTCGCCTAGTCTGCAAGTTCGTAATAATACTGACTTGCAAAAGTCCATCTCTATCAGATGCTACAAAGTTTAGGTCAAGGTGAGAAACAGTACTATCTCAACATGCCTGTCCTGAAAAAGTAAAACTAAAAACTAAAAAAGTTTAGATTATAGAAGTATTTAGCATAGACTTCCCTTTACATCTGCAGCATATTGTTAACCTCTACATTGCGTTATTTTTTAATCTCAGGTTTGTCAGTGTCGAATGAATAGTTTGAATATATGTACGGTAATATTTTATAATCATAATAATGATAGAGACCGTTATTTATTTATTTTTTTATTTTATTTATTTATTTATTTATTTTTTTTAGTCCCCTGAATTAACATATGTATCATGAATATGCTTTCCCCCGGAAAAAAGGAAAGTACCTAAGTAAAATATCTGCAGTTGCTCATTATGATTTATTTGACACATTCACGCTAATAAATACAATCGTTGCATTGGAAATCTAGATGACGATAGGGTGTGGCTTTTCAACCGAAGTGTCGGCGGACGTCCTCATCCGAGTGGAAGGACTCGCGGGACTCGAGGCTGCGGAACTCGAAGGATTCGCGGGAGTCGAAGTGACGAGGCCTGACGGGGATGGGTGCGGGCCTCTCGAAGGACTCACGTGAGTCAGGGAAACGTGGTCTGGGGGCTGAATAGACGGGTCTAGGGGCTGAATAGACAGGTCTGGGAGCTTCACGGGACTCTGCTGAGTCATAGCGAGCCTCGCCCTCGTAGCTGACGTCGGCTACGTAGCCTGAGTCTCCATCCACGTAATACTTGACGGTCTGGAGGCGGCCGTCGGGGAGCTGCACGTAGTAGGATCCTTGAGTGTTGTCGTCATCGCGAGCCTCTTGGTGTCCGAAGTCGTTGCCGGAGTCATCGTGGTCGACAGCCCACTGGAAGTCGTACTTGGCCTCACTGGACTCGAAGGACTCAAAGGATTCCCTGGATGCTACCTGCATGTTGATGGAATACTGAAGTCACGCACGGGCATATTACAGCTATTCGTTATATAAATGTATATATTCAGCATTCTTGTCTACTGACCTTTCATGATATATTAATCATGCATGTATATCCATACACATAACACGCACACACATAAGACATATACCATATTCGTATGCGTGTGTGTACATGCATGGAAAAATCTTATATGTACACATGAATGTGTACACTGAATGCAGTTACAGTGTTATGTGCAAGCACTATTATACTCTACTAGTGAAAGCTATGAGTAAGGCACTTCAGACAGCGAATAGACGTTGGAGGATTACCCTGGGGGCGCCGTAGGAGAAGCTCGGCTTGTCGGCGGCGGCGACGGCGGCGAAGGCCAGCACGAGGATGATCTGTTATGGGGAGCAAATATGTGGGTCATATGTAGTAATTGAGTAGATAATAATTAAAAATGACATGAATATGCCCATTACTTTACCCATTTATTATTACTATTTTTGTTCATATATATTAAGGTGAGTAGTGAAAGCACAAGGAGATAAACTGCTTATACATCTTCACTGGCATTTCCCAACTTTCCTAAGACAAGATCCAGAACCAGAATCAGGGAGGTTACCTTGGTGTTCATGGCGGCTGTATCGTTGGAACAGTGACGACTCCTAGCTTGCTGACCATTATATACCGCCGGCCAGAATCAGGCCTGGTTTTTGTAATACATGTGCTTTTTTCTTTTGGTTGAAATTTTCATCATATCCCTAGGGCGGGAATCTTTTGCAATATGCTGTCATACCAATGATTTATTGAAAAGCGTGTTCGTATGTTTTAGCAGATGATAGTTATTTGAATCCCACATGATTTTTCGATATCTATATACAATGTAAACTCGCCTGTGTATATTTTTACCAATCAATTTCTTTGAAATTCCTCGTACATCTTCATAATATTAATTCAAAAGAAATAATTTGCAATGCAGTACCTGTGTCAGTTCAATATTCTTCAAACTTTATTTCACGCTGACCTAATTCGATTTCACTTACTACTATTGTTACACAACAAATAGATAGAGAGAAAATAATACTTGTTATGGATAACCACTGCACAAGTTGATAAGTACTGTTGTTACGATGATGAAATTACAACCTATTAGTATGTTTTATTTTTATTCTGTTTAATGTAGTATTTGTTTCTCTCTAATCTGCGTCATTTGCTTAATATCATTACCATCACTATTATTATATCGTTATCATTATTACTATGATTCTTGTTATTATTATCCTTATTATGATGATTCTTGTTGTTATCTATCATAATTATGGTTATCCCTATTTTAGAAGACGCCACGACCCACTGAACCACGAAGGCGCAAACCTCAGCTGGGAGGGGACTGCGCATAGAAAGACCAAGACTGGTGTGTTCCACTAGTAATCACTTTATATATAAGAATAATATTGCTAATTGATTTTATGTGATTTGGTATTTCCGGAAAATGATCTGACACGCAATGGGTATATATGTTTAAGTGAACACATGTGTGAACGCAAGTGTGTTTATATATATATGTGTGTGTAAGTCTATGCGTGCGCGCACCTACGCGGGTGTGGTATATGTGCGTATATATTAGGGTTATATTGGTTATATTGTCAGACTAATTTTTTATAGCTATTGACAGTGTAACCAATGGTAGCCTTAAACACATACATACACATATCCAACCACATACACGTGTATGTTTCTAGATATTATTCCGTAGCTATTGACAATATTACCGGCGTCAAGCCTTGGGTTTCTCAACTGAAGCAGACTGTATTGCTGAAACACAGCCATGAAAGCAAGTTCGTCTGGTTTGCAAGTTCTTAATAATACTGACTTACAAAATTCCATCCTATCAGATGCTACAAAGTTTAGGTCACCTGAGGATTGGCTAACCTCAGGGGCGGCGACAAGTTAAGAAATGCGTCAGTTAACCTACACTTTTTTAGAGCAGATAGTGGTGACACTTGACAACACTTCTCAGCCTTTGCAAACCTGAGATTTCAAATTTCAGATCGTGTTTTTGTCCTTTTCATGCCCGACTTTATATTTGTTACAAAATGAAGACCAGTAGTAATTATATATACTCGTCTAGAAAAGAAAAGAAAAAAGTAAAACGCAAATCAGGTTTAAATTATAGAAGTACGTGACACTGAATTTACCTTGCATTTTCAGCATATTGTTATTTTTAATTTTAGGTTTTAAAAATTCGAATAGCTTACATGAATAGTTTGAATATGCTGAATATACGACAAGATTGATAATAAAGACCGTGAAACGTCTTTTGGTTTTCTGAAGTAGACCTATTGCTTATTTTTTAATTTAAAATATGTCTAAAAATTTACCGTAGTATTTCCCATGTGTATTTCTTATCGGTGTATAAACAATCTGATACTTATCATTATTCCATAACCGTCCCCTTTCAATATTTTCTCCGTCTGTGTAAAAAAAGAAAAGAAAAGAACAAAAGAAAGAAAAAAAAAAGAAAAAAATATACAGTCCATGGGACCATCTTTGCTAGAAATGAAATAAACTGGAAGAATTTCATGTTGGGCTCTACTTCAGTAGTCCAAATAAAAAGGGTTCTGGCAAACAGGTTCACCAAAGACTGTTGAATGGGAAATAATTCTAAGCGAAAGGTTTGCTAAAGACTGTAGAGATGAAAATAATTCTGGTTGACATGTTTATGTTTTATTTAGACTCAAACGTGGATAATTCTACTCATTAGGCTCTCTAAAGTTTGTCGAAATATAGGGTCAACAATATTTCAAGAAACCTTTGCCTCTGATGTCTGAGGTCTTTTGTTCATGCAGGCATAAGTAGGTGACTTTAACACGTTACCCGCGTTATAACAAAACCAAGACTCCCCTCTATCGCGGAGGCCTTCACAACCCTCTCGCGCTTGTCCCAGTGAAGCTATGAGGAAGAAAACTCGTATGTTTTATTGTGCTTACTTTTCTACTCATTCATGTCCCTTGCTAATGTATAAAAGCCAAAACCATAGCCAGTTTATGTATAAAAAGGAAAAAAGTACATTAGATATATACTTTTTTTTTTTTTACTCATCTTTGCACCACCGGGGTACCAACTCCCAATAAGGGAATATCGTTAGTAGTACACATGTGAGCCAAGACGCGGGTAACGTGTTAAACAATAGTTCAGTGTCCCATAAGCAATGAATATACTGAGATTTCCCTTGATAATGTCATTTGAACTAAATGTTTGAATTCTTTAGGGATTTTAATTTCTATTTGAATTGTAGCTCATGTAAGAATTTACTGGGTTGTGTGAACTATGTAATGTTCAATTATCATTTTTTTTTTTTATAAGCAACATTCAGCCAAAAATGCACTTATCTGAATAAAATACCTACGATTGCTCATTATCATTTATTTGGCACATTCACACTAATAAATACTTTCGCTACACTGGAAATTTAGATTATTATAGGATGTGGCTTTTCAACCGAAGTGTCGGCGGACGTCCTCATCTGAGTGGAAGGACTCACGGGACTCGAGGCTACGGAACTCGAAGGATTCGCGGGAATCGAAGTGACGAGGCCTGACGGGGATGGGTGCGGGCCTCTCGAAGGACTCACGTGAGTCAGGGAAACGTGGTCTGGGGGCTGAATAGACGGGTCTAGGGGCTGAATAGACAGGTCTGGGAGCTTCACGGGACTCTGCTGAGTCATAGCGAGCCTCGCCCTCGTAGCTGACGTCGGCTACGTAGCCTGAGTCTCCATTCACGTAGTAAGTGACCTTCTGCAGACGGCCGTCGGGGAGCTGCACGTAATAGGATCCTTGAGTGTTGTCGTTATCACGAGCCTCCTGTTGTCCGAAGTCATTGCCGGAGTCATCATGGTCGACGGCCCACTGGAAGTCGTACTTGGCCTCAGTGGACTCAAAGGACTCGAAGGATTCCCTTGATGCTACCTGTATGATGATAGAACAATTTATTGTTTACATGATTTTGGTCGATAATTTACTCAACATGTAGACGTGTATGTAAACAGTGCATGCATATGCATGAACTGTTAAGTTCCCCTGATGACAACTATGAACAAGGACATCTTATACATCAAAAGGGCATCGTAAGCTTACCCTGGGGGCGCCGTAGGAGAAGCTCGGCTTGTCGGCGGCGGCGACGGCGGCGAAGGCCAGCACGAGGATGATCTGTTACGGGGAGCAGTGATAACTAGGTCGTTGGCCAAAGCTTTGTTAAATGCTACATGCAATAATTGTCAATACAATAAGATATCGAAGCTGACATGAATCTGCCCACTGCTCTATACGAGTATTATCTATATCGCAAGGAACTACTTGTCTTCACGTGCATTTCCTAACTCTAAAAACAAGATCCACGGCCAGTGTTTGGGAGTTCACCTTGGTGTTCATGGCGGCTGCGTGTCAGACGGAACTGTGTCTTCGCCTCACTTGCTGGCTGTTATATACGGCCAGAATCTGGCTGGTTTTTGTGAGTTTTTTTTTCTTTGAATGAAATTTTCTTCATATTCCTAGGGAGGGAATCTTTTGCAATATAGTGTCAATGACAGCATGATCACGTGCTGTAGCATTCACTTTGGTCTTTATAATGATCTTAGCTGTTGGCGCGGCAGATAATCTTAAATAATTAACCAGTCCATATAAAAAGTAAGCACATACCTATTACTCCATATTCCCTGAAAAAAAAAATCAAAGTATGTACAAAATCTATGTACATGATATATATATATATTTCAGATCTCGCACAGGAAAGGTTTTGATTTGGTTTCATTCATTGGCCTCATGATCCGATTGAACGCCTATTGTTTCTACTGCATTGCAACTATTGAAATGATGCCGACCAGCAGAAAAATAATTATTCATGTTCAGAGTTAATTTTAAGGCTAACAATTATTGTTTTTAGTCATGAGGGTAAAATCTTATGTTATACTGTTTGATGTTTGATTTCTATCCAATTTGTTACTTAGTATTTTGAATTATCATTATCATAGTCACTATTAATTTAGGAGACGCAGCCACATGGTCGCGACCCCCAGCAGGGTGGGGACCATCACGTTGGACCCAGACTGGTATGTTCTAGTAGGAGTTGGTTTATAGATTTATGGCGTATATGAGGGATTTCATTTATTTAGTTTATTTAGTACAATATACTGACATAAAAAGATGTGTGTATATATGCGTGTGTGTGTGTGTGTGTGTGTGTGTGTGTGTGTGTGTGTGTGTGTGTGTGTGCGCGCGTGTGTGTGTGTGTTTGTGTGTGTTCCGGTTATCATCGGTTATATTGTCAGAGGATACATAGTGACTTGTTACACAGAGCGGCAATTTGTATATATAAGTTTAACCATTTTCCCAAAGGAATGTAATATGTCAGTACAATATACTGACATATAAGGATGTGTGTGTATATATGCGTGTGTGTGTGTGTGTGTGTGTGTGTGTGTGTGTGTGTGTGTGTGTGTGTGTGTGTGTTCCGGTTATCATCTGTTATATTGTCAGAGGATACATAATGACTTGTTACACAGAGCGGCAATTTGTATATATAAGTTTAACTATTTTCCCAAAGGCAATGTAACAAACACCTAGTAAACTGAGTTGCTGAAACACTGTCATGAAAACATTTGCGTCTGGCATGCAAGTTCTTAAAAACACTGGCTTGCAAAAGTCCATCCTATCAGATGCTACAAAGTTCAGGTCATATGTGGATTGGCTAACCACAGGGGCGGCGGCGACAAGGTCAGGACTGCGTCAATTAACCTACACTTTTAGAGCAGTTCCTGAAGTAGCGATGTTTGACACTAGTTTTTAGCCTTTTCAGATTTCATTTTTCACATTTCAGGCCGTGTCTTGGTCCTCAGCACGTACGAAATTTTATGTTACAAGGGTGAGCAACAACAATGATGCGATATGTTTGTTAGAATAGGGAAAACATGAAACTTGTTTAGGTTATGGAATCACGTGGAAATCTGACTGAACTTACATTATCTGTATATCATTAGCTTATAAGATGTGCAATATATTAAATGCCGGATATCTGTTGTAAATACTATAAAAATATGTAAAGAATTTGAGTAATCATTTACTGTGTTGTGACCCAATACTTTGTTATGAAATAAACCCAATACTATGTTGTGAAATAGACCCAACACACGTGCATTTTAGAATATAACAATAATGTTACGAAAAACTTGCTGTAAAGTCTTTCTATATCCTTTCTATATCTTTGTTGGACATGCTAGAATAAGAAATTTCATATCGGAATATACTGAAAATAAAATCACCCACGCACGTATTCCCCGGGCCCAAGGCTCTCCTGTGCATTAAACATTTTGGCAGTTTTCTACATTGACATTATTTCCTGTAAGACTTTCCGTTTTGGTAAAGTTTCCAGTGACTCATTAAAGAGAAATATGGAATTTCTGAACGGTAGGGGATTAGGCATGACGCTTGACTGGAGTTAGATTTGAATTCAAGTGAAAATATGTTACTGTGTCAGCAATTTTTATAATCGTTTAGCTCTGTAGATTGTGCACTGTATCTTGTAAAGCGAAGAAACTAATATAACGTATGTGCGTTTGCTCTTTATCCTATACCTTTTCAGGCTAATAAATACATTGTCAACATTGGAAATTTGCTTGATTTTTTTTTTCTTTTTCTTTTTTCTTATAGTATGTGAACCTTCGGCTGCGGAACTCGGAGGATTCACTGGAGTCGAAGTGACGAGGCCTGGCGGGGATGGGTGCTGGCCTCTCGAAGGACTCACGTGAATCAGGGATGTGTGGACTGGGGGCTGTGTTGACGGGTCTGGGAGCTTCGCCCTCGTATAGTACGGGGCTAGTTCATCTGTAGTTTCAGTGCGCTGGAGTAAATAATGTTACTTAAATTGCGAAGCAGATCAGAATAGTAATCCACCCAGCAAATCACACTCACACCTTTCTCTCTTTATATATTTAAGATTATACACACCCACATATGTATATATATATACACATTTGTACACATATAAATAAAAGTGTATATACACTAATATATATGATATATGTATACGTACACATGTAAATATATGTAAATATAACAGTTTTCAACACCATTGTCCTCAAAATACATGAGCTTAGTATTAGATGAACCTAGCTTCGCCAGCTCTGCGTGTAGCTACTTAGAAACCATATATTTCAAAAGAAAGAATGAAAGAAAGAAAGAAAGAAAAAATTAAGTCGTGTTATATGAGATAATGATCCTGAGTTTAGCTTACCTACACTTACAGGGATAGTAATATATATTTTTTTTTGCTCAAAATAATTTATTTGACACTCACACTAATAAATACACTCGCATCTTTTTAAATCTAGGTCATTATGCCATATAGTCCTTCAGCCGAAGTGTCTGCGGACGTCCTCATCCGAGTGGAAGGATTCACGGGACTCGAGGCTGCGGAACTCGAAGGATTCGCGGGAGTCGAAGTGACGAGGCCTGACGGGGATGGGTGCGGGCCTCTCGAAGGACTCACGTGAGTCAGGAATGCGTGGTCTGGGGGCTGAGTAGACGGGTCTAGGGGCTGAGTAGACGGGTCTAGGGGCTGAATAGACAGGTCTGGGAGCTTCACGGGACTCAGCTGAGTCGTAGCGAGCCTCGCCCTCGTAGCTGACGTCGGCTACATAGCCTGAGTCTCCATTCACGTAGTAGGTGACCTTCTGCAGGCGGCCGTCGGGGAGCTGCACGTAGTAGGATCCTTGAGTGTTTCCGTTATCACGAGCCTCCTGGTGTCCGAAGTCGTTGCCAGAGTCATCGTGGTCGACAGCCCACTGGAAGTCGTACTTGGCTTCAGTGGACTCGAAGGACTCGAAGGATTCCCTGGATGCTACCTGCATGGGGATAGGATACTTGAAGTGTCTTACGGGTAAGTTTTTGTGTGAAGCTAAATGAAACAGCGTTCTGCAACTGATCTTAGTTAATTTATGAATTTAACACGGACAAACACACTTTAGTGCATATAATATATATATATATATATATATATATATATATATATATATATATATATATATATATATATATATATATATATATATATATATATATATATATATATATATATATATATATATATATATATATATATATATATATATATATATATATATATATATATATATATATATATATATATATATATATATATATATATATATATATATATATATATATATATATATATATATATATATATATATATATATATATATATATATATATATATATATATATATATATATATATATATATATATATATATATATATATATATATATATATATATATATATATATATATATATATATATATATATATATATATATATATATATATATATATATATATATATATATATATATATATATATATATATATATATATATATATATATATATATATATATATATATATATATATATATATATATATATATATATATATATATATATATATATATATATATATATATATATATATATATATATATATATATATATATATATATATATATATATATATATATATATATATATATATATATATATATATATATATATATATATATATATATATATATATATATATATATATATATATATATATATATATATATATATATATATATATATATATATATATATATATATATATATATATATATATATATATATATATATATATATATATATATATATATATATATATATATATATATATATATATATATATATATATATATATATATATATATATATATATATATATATATATATATATATATATATATATATATATATATATATATATATATATATATATATATATATATATATATATATATATATATATATATATATATATATATATATATATATATATATATATATATATATATATATATATATATATATATATATATATATATATATATATATATATATATATATATATATATATATATATATATATATATATATATATATATATATATATATATATATATATATATATATATATATATATATATATATATATATATATATATATATATATATATATATATATATATATATATATATATATATATATATATATATATATATATATATATATATATATATATATATATATATATATATATATATATATATATATATATATATATATATATATATATATATATATATATATATATATATATATATATATATATATATATATATATATATATATATATATATATATATATATATATATATATATATATATATATATATATATATATATATATATATATATATATATATATATATATATATATATATATATATATATATATATATATATATATATATATATATATATATATAT